CCATGGCGACTAAAATGGTCGCAACTTGGAGGGTTGCTTTGCGCTCTGCAAAGTTCAGGGCGGCGATGGCGCTCGCCTTCTTGAGGAGATTTTTACAACATGTAACGTCCTTAACTGAACCACATGACCTACAGATTTCCGCTATCAGATGAGGGATAAGTTTTCTTCGGTGTTTGGAGAATATGACTGCCGGACATTGCCATAGAACATCATATCGTTCCTGGTTTATTTTGGTGACAACACATCCTGCACTCCTGTAGGCTAAGTTTAAACAATTATTTTCCTACTAGGCCGCCCATTCCTTCAATAATTTAATTGTCATCTCCCAGAATCTGGGAGACACGTGACCAGACCCAACCAGGATCTCTGCTCGCTCGCTCCATGGGGCGGTAAGATGAGAGACCCTGGGAATGAGGCTGATTAGGGTACAGGTTTCAAGGGTTGGGCAGCACAGCCCCACCAAAAACTTTGAGGAGTACCACCCCCCTTCCCTTAGGGTTTGGGCCTTGTCCTTTACTTCAGAGAATTTGGTTGATTAATAATTAATTTATCCCTTATTTGCTCTCATGAAATTTATCCTAGTGTTTGGTGTGTGTTTGCCATCCCGTACCAACAAAACCACCAGCATCCAGAGGCATTGAACAGTCAACTTACCCTTTATCATTGTTTTTGACGTATTTTAATTAACAATAATTTACATTTTGATCTTAAGATTTCTATGAAGTGATAGTTGAAGCTCAAGACCAAATCAACTCTTCCCTAGTTGAAATTGAGAACGAATAATCAACCTAACCCTGCCCCGAAAGCAAATAATTGTTTTAGTAGAATTATCGACCTGAAATTTCCTTCACATATAATTATTTCAGTCATTTGTCTATGTTGTGTTTAACTTTACACTTTAAAAAAATTCTATAGACTCAATTTTTGTTTGAAATATGTAGTTGTGCATGAGCACTCATCAGTTTTCTAAAAAAAATCGAGTTTTTAAAGCTATGAAACCCTGAGTGTCTTTCTCTTAGTCTTCTTTGGAATGTAATTATCCATTTGAAGACCTGTTTCCATATAATGTGATCTTAAGACCCCCACTGTCTTAGAATTCACATCAAAATTTCCTTTTGACTATTGCCTTCACCTCTGGTTCTTTTTGAGTTGGAGTTTTATGTTTGCTTTACAATGCTTCCTTCATCACTCAGTTTGTTCCTAACAGACCACATTTCTGTTTTCAAAGTATGTCCATCCTCTTGTATAAATTGGTTTCCCAAGAAGGGAAATTAGAGCTCAGTTTTTCACTGATGAAGGCGGATAAAAAATACAAGGAGTACATTGTACTTGATATTATAACCAATGACGAAAAAAAAAAAATATTGTAGGTGAAAAATGAGTGGGCTGGGTTTCAAATCAAAATATTAGCTCTGGATTGTAGTTTGCAGTGGGACTGAGTTTATACCCAAAATGCACCACATGCAACAATTTGAAGCCGTTATTTTGCAAATGTTCTAGGAAAGCATTAAAGGGCAAGGACCTCCAGCCTTCAGCTACATGTACCTTGCCTATTACTACAACATTTTGACAGGGTTGAATAAAGATGGAACCTCAGATAGCTAAGTAATTTTGAGATAGTAAGTAAACTATCTACCAATATAACCATGGTTTGCACAATCTTGAAAAGGTCTTGAATTTTTGTAGACATCTTGAAAAGTGCTTGAATTTGGTTAAGGTCCTTCCAAAGTGCTTGATTTCTTTATTGAGTCTTGAAAATCTTTGAAATTTAGTAATTACCAAAAAGGTCTTTTGTTTTATATCTGAGATTTAGTAACTTTTCTACACTATTTCACTTTTCTGAAAAATCAAATTACTTTTCGAAGGAAAATTTGTTCCTTGACAACTAATAACTGGTGATATGATAACAAGGGAACAAATGGTTGGTATAAAATGTGAACATTTAGTACATGGATTGAAATTTGATCCTTGCCTCAATTTCATGCATGTTATACCAGGCCTCTGATGTGGGGTTGTCGTCACATGCATGTGTTTTCAGGGGCTATGTGATGGATAGTGTGTAGTATATAGATTCAGAAGTTTTTGTTATTTTCCCATTGTTTGCAATTTAAATGAGCGATAGGTAAATATGTATTTAATTGTAATTGTTTAAGTGATGCAAAGCTCAGCTGGATAAAAGATATATAGGCAACAAACACAAGGCCATGTGTCGTGTTTGTAACAAAGTGATCGACATAAAAACATGGGAGAAAGTGCCTTGAAGTCTCATATGAAAGGCAAGAAACACAAAAGGAACACATGTGCAACTTCAAGTTCAACCCTGTCTGTGCTGATGGCTACATTTTTACATAAAAAGTCTTTAAGTTGTGGTCAGTTCAGTCGGAATCTGATCCTAGTTGTCAATTAGCCAGAGACAGTGATCATTTTACAAAATGCTGTTTACAGAGACTAACGTCATCAACCATTGCTGAACTATCTGAATATCGTAAATGACTTAATTGAGTGTTATAAGTGTTGAAAGACGGGACAACAAATATTGATTTATTGATTAAAACAGCCCTTGAAAACTATTTTTTGTCATTGAAAAGTCCTTGAAATGTTGTTTGTCTGAAGTTATACAAACCATGTATAACACACTATTACCAGCTCAAAAGTGCAATGAATATTTTGTAGTGCCTTATTATTGATTTAACATTGATGATTTGATCTTCATTATCAGGCCAGAAAATGCAGTGGTTGGTGATGTATTGGTCCTTACTAAACCTCTGGGAACTCAGATTGCTGTTAATGCACATCAGTGGTTGGAGGATGTGAGTATAATCTAAACTGAAATCTTGTATCACATCACACCATCTGCATAGCTTACAGTATCATTGTAATAAGGGCTCTACTATGTTAAGCCTCATGCTCTGTTGTTTTGTCTCTGTTTTTCTTCTTGTATACAGTACCACTCAGATGAAAGCTAACCAAACTTTGCATTAAGAGCTGTACATTAATACCACATTGGCTGTTTAGGCATGTTAGTCACTGCATTTTGATTTTGCATTTTAAAGCAGGTTAACATTAATCATTAGTACTGTATGCATGAGCTTTGTTATTGTTTACTGCTTTGTTATTTGAGAAAGGAATTTAAGTTGTCTCTGAATGGATTTTGTTGACTGTTGTGGTTTAAATGTATGTTTTTGGTTTAAGTATTTCTGAAACAGATTTTTATCATGTATATGAAGAAGTGAAAGATAAAAATCAAACATAATAATTATATTTGATTAATTATTTTTCAAGTTATTTGTATAGGCTGTCTTATAAATGTGAGTGCAATTAAAGATTTGCACTAATAAGAGTTCTGATCATTGACAGTTCATAGCATAATTAACTGTCCCAAGGAATTAAAGCCTGACATATTGAAATTTTGTTTGTGCGGTGTGGGTTTTAAAACTCTAGCCTAGCCTTCATAGAGAGATTCCAGTAATAATAATAATAATAATAATAATAATAATAATAATAATAATAATAATAATAATAATAATAATAATAATAATAATAATAATAATAATAACTTTATTTAAGTGTCCAATATATTTAGCACTATTAAATGTGCTAATTGGGGACACTGTAAATAAATAAACAAATATTTCAAATCTAACATAAATGGGAATCCCAACTGGTTGGAGGCTGACCAGTTGGCTATTTACAAAATGCGTTTGAGGAATTGAACTCAGGGCTACGGAGAACAAATCCAGATAGTGGAGACTTTGAACCAGGGACCTCCAGATTTCAAATCCAGTGCTCTAAACGACTCAGCCATGCTGCCAAGTAAATATACGGTGACTATCCCTTGTGGCCATCATGGTGAGGGGGCTCTATAGTTAGTCCTCTGTATTAATATGTGGCTTGTTTTGACATCTTGACAGCCTAAGTTTTGGAACAGGATCAAGGATGTTGTCACAACTGAAGAAGTAGAAAGAGCTTATCAGAAAGGCATGCTATGTATGGCTAGATTAAACCGTAACGCTGCATACTTGATGCACAAGTATGAAGCACATGCTGCTACAGATGTAACTGGATTTGGAATTCTAGGTCATGCAAGCAATTTAGCCAGCAATCAAAAAGCAGAGGTGGCATTTGTTATACACACACTTCCTATCCTGGCAAACATGGTAAAAGTGTACGAGGCTTGTGGTGTTAATTTCAAATTACTGGATGGATTCTCTGCTGAGACTTCTGGTGAGTTATTATTCTTATTATTATCCTATTGCATTGCAGACCTGGGCCTTGTTGCTCAAAGAATGGATAATGCTATTTTTTGAGGAAGCTACATTACACAATGGACCAGTTTAAAGATGTCGCTCAATATTAATTTTTGTATTTTTCATATAAACAAAGAATTTCCTACCGTACATACAGAAATACATCGATTTATCCTCCCAAATTCAGTAAAAGTGCGTTTTTTCATAGGAATCCACCGTAAACTCGTAGAAATATGAGGAGGTCAACTTGCCAACTTGTGGATGACTCTGTACACCCAGCGTCGCACTTGTACCAATGAACATCTACAAGTAGTTAATTTCAAGTTTGTTTTCAGGGTTTACTTTTCTACCACGCGGGCGGTAAATTTTGCTCATACAAAAAACAAACGTTGGTGTAGCCATGTTTGGAAATATTGTAAGTTTACATTTCCAGTAGTAGTTTTGTGTTCAAATACCTGCTGGTACCTCCTACAGGTGGACTGCTGATCTGTTTGTCACGTGACAAGGCCCAGAGTTATTGTGATGAACTTCAGTCTCTAGATGGACATCCAGCTTGGATTGTTGGTGAAGTGGTGCATGGAAACAGACAGGCAGAGATGCAGACAGATCTGAAGATCATTGAAGTCTAGCCTCTCCGCCCTAGGAAATGTAAATTGGCTGAAGCTATAACGAGTCATTCAACATATCGTCAGCAGCACTACAGTATTAAAAAGTTTATAACAATTTATTCACGGTATTACTACTAATTAACCCTCTTGCGGGTAAAGAAAACTTAATTGATCGTTATAAACTATGCATTCGTTAACGCTTGGCTACACTTGGATGGCCTGTTTGAAAACAGCAATACATTTTCACGGTTGTTAGCAAATCCTACAGGTAGTGATCCTCCGGAAGTAGGACGCTCCGAAAGTAACCACCTCAATCATTAACTTGTTGAAGAAACAATGAAAGTAAGAGATCTGTTAGGTGTCTCGTTATTCCAAAGACCACTCAACTGTACCGACGTGATTATAGATTGACCAGACGTGACTATAGATTGCATTCAACAAGATTTCTCTTTTTCTTCTCTACTTATATCCTAAACATTTATATTTTATTAAGAAGGATCGGTTCAGATATACACATTTTAGCCACTCGAAAGTAGCGAGCTTTGCGAAGTGTGAAAGTGCGAGAGTAGAACTATTAAAAGTCCGCCAAATCTGAAAGGAACGTGGGTGGTTACTTTTCTGAGTGAAACACTTTAGTCTGACCGTGCGTCGCCTAACCGATAGAAGCCGATGTCATCGTTTTTCCGCGTGAGCGCAAATGTCCCTGTCCATATTTTTTTAGGGATTTATCTTCTTAATCTGTACAAAAACGCACTGATGGCGTTTGACATAATTTTAGTGTTTACATGTATGTTGGGTTTATAGAGATGACAAGGGAACATAATTTGGGTCAAGTTAAGTGTCGTTGTCTTTTTTTGTTTTTCTCATGTTGCTGTGAAATATATTTTTTAGTCAAGGGCATCGTTTGATATCTCTGCCTTTATTGCTGCATTTCAAGTCTACAGTGCCAGGAATTGAGCAGCTTGGTACTGTATTTCTTGGCTGAATGTGTAGTGAATGTTCCTTACTGTAGAGTAATAGCGTTGGTGTCTTACATGAAGCTCTTGGGGTAAATTAATCTAAGACCTGGAGAGCTGATGTTTTTTAGACATCAATGAAAGCTACGTACAAAGAGGCAAGATATGGTACATGTGTGCTTGTTACATTTAGCAATTTAACTGTGCGTTGTGCATGGTTGCTTTGATCGATCAATTAAAATTTTGCACTTGAATATCTGTTGTGAGGTCATATTATATGCTGTTTTAGCTTTCTAGACAAAGATGACGATTAGATTGTCCCTTGGCAGAGACTGTAACCTTCGGAACAACGACCCTCGTCACTTTGAGAATTAGCAGACTTTGGGGGCTCGTTACTTTTGGAGGCTCGTTACTTTGGGGCTCGTTAATTTTGGAGGCTCGTTACTTTGGGGCTCGTTAATTTTGGGGGTTCGTTACTTTCGGGTGATCGTTACTTTCGGAGAGGAGAAAAACGTTATATGACGTTGATGGGAGTGAGCTCTTCATCCGAGATATAAGATGGAAATTCGTTACAAAACATTTGTTAGGATTTGTTTGTTACTCACTATCTACAACAGATTATAGTTCACCACTAAATTTTCTCCGATTGTTATTGGGTTAAACTGATCACATGACGGGATAGTGTTCGTCCGCGGAGAGACACTATGAGCCCATAATGCCCGTCCGAGGAAAATAACCGGATGGATAGTACTCGTCCGTTAAAATTTTTCTGTAAACAAACGGGCTTATAGAAAATTAACAACTGAAATTGTATTAAGTGGGTTTTGTCTGTTTTCTTTTTCAAATTTTACATTTGGCTTTCACGCCTTTCATCTAAAAAAAAGTTGAAAATAATTCAATATGATATTTGAACTGGCGAGTGGAAGAAAATTTGGTGGTGAACAATAAAGACAATAGAGTATCTATGTCTCCGAACTATCGATCTGATAGTTGCCCCTCGGAAATTTGACGTTCTTAAATCTAGCATATTTTCCCTCGAAGCTTGGCTTCTCAGGCAAGTATTTCTTTTAAGAAATATATTTTGTAACGTTTCGCTAATTACACTGGAGTATGTTCACTATGTATGGTTCGTGTTTACTGTAGAAGTATTTTAGGCGTGAATCCCTAAGGGGTTAGTAGGCTATTTAAGAATTTGTAAGTTATGCAAGAGCCACTCGAAGGCATCTCTTTCAACTTTGCTTTTGCTGTTATGTCGNTCGGATACTGAACGAGCGAGCGTTCCCGCTTCGATCGCGCAATCCTTCACTGAGGGAGATCCTGTTCATAAGAACATTGTTTCCTCGTCTTTTGGACGTTGCGTTTGATCAGAGGTTCGCTGCACTCAAACGCGATCTCGACGAGAAACAAGCCGCCACTCAGTCTCAACTGTAGAAGCTAAAAACGGTAT